GAAATGATTTTATAAAATATTAGTTGAACATTTAGTTGTAGATGATGAATGGAAACGTAGTAACCTTTCGATTCTATACTAAGTGTAAAATTAATATTTTATTTAATTGATTTGCCTAAGTGTGTATATCACATGCGAGAATGATGAGTAATAAATACACTTGCATTATTGTTTCATTTAACATACTATGGCATTAAAAACTATCATTGCTGACTTAAACAAAGGTGACAAACTGAACGGTGAAAACTATGATATTTGGAGCCGTAAGATGTGGTATGTGCTGGAAGAGCAAGATGCTCTTGAAGCCATTAACCATGTCATGGTTTGCCAGAGGAGGGTAACACTGCCCAACATAGGAGAGATCTTGAGGCTTACAATTCTTGAAAAAAGAAAGATGCCACTGCTCGTGGAATTATTGTAAGCTCAGTTGTGGATGATTTCATTCATGAATGTGAACAATTCCCTACTGTTAATGCCATGTGGGCGCATTTAAGGGAGGCATATGGGGGTACGACTGTGACTCGCCTTCGGCAGCTGACAATCAAGTTTGACACGTACAAAAAACGTCATGATCACGGTGTCAAGCAACATCTAAGGGTGATGTCAAATATGATTGCTCAACTCAAAAGTGCTGGCCATGTTCTCTCTGACGAGCAGCAGGTTCAGGCAGTGATTCGGTCTCTTCCCAATAATTGGGAGCATCTGAAGGTTAACTTGACCCACAATGATAACATCAAAACTTTTGTTGATGTTGCCCGTCATGTGGAGCTTGAAGACGAGCAACTTGGTGCTGCTAAAGCTGTACCTAATGCCTTTGTGGCAGAATCAAGTGGTACAAAGAGATCAAGCTTCAAGCGCAAGAGAAACTGGAAAAATGACGGAAAGGGTAAGGAGACCGGAGAAGGATCCTCCAAGAAAAGAAACAAGCCAAATTCTAAGAAAGGAAAACGGTTCTTCAAGAAGAAAGACAAGAGCAAGATGAAGTGTTACAATTGCCAAGTTCCAGGGCATTTTGCTCGTGAGTGCACTGAGCCGAAAAAGGTAGCATTTCAAAACGCATCTCTTAGTGCTATATATGTTTCTAGCACTATTTTACTAACTGAATCTTATCCTGTGTGGATTGTAGACTCAGGGGCCACCGACCATGTGAGCCGCGATAGAGAAGCGTTTATAGAGTTTCGTCGAGGTTCGCCTGGATCAAAGCATGTATTTGTGGAAAATAATGCAAAGCTTGAAGTCAAAGGGATAGGCACTTGCAGAATGGACATGCGTGGTGGCCGATCTTTGATGTTGCATGATGTCCTTTATGTTCCAGAGATTCGACGAAACTTAGTCTCTGTGTCTGTTCTTCTAGATTTAGATTTCAATTTGAACTTTAGTCGCAGTGGTCTTAGAATTACTCAAGACAATGTTTTTTATGGTTTTGGACATCGTTATGATGGTTTTATTGTGTTAGATTGTANATTTGAAAACTGTCAAGTCATGGCTTTCAAAGTCTTTTGACATGAAAGATATGGGCGAGGCAGACTATATCCTTGGAGTTAAGATCCAAAGAGACCGTTCCAAAAAGTTATTGAGTTTATCTCAAGAAACTTATATAAAGAAAATTTTGGAGTGTTTTCACATGAATAATTACAAATCCATGGATACTCCTATAGCGAGAGGTGAAACTTTAAGCCTTGAAATGTGTCCCAAGACTGAAAATGAAAAGGAAGACATGTCTCGAGTTCCATATTCAAGTGCTGTCGGGAGCTTGATGTACGCTATGATGTGTACTCGCCCAGACATTTGTTATGCCGTAGGTCTGGTTAGCAGGTATCAATCCAATCCTGGAAGAGATCATTGGAAAGCTGTGAAGAGAATTTTCAGATACCTGAAAGGAACTGCAAATTATTCACTATGTTATAGTGGAAATGATTTATACTTGAGAGGATATATAGATGTTGATTGGGCTGGTGATCGAATGATAGAAAATCAACATCCAGTTATGCCTTCTTACTTAATGGTGGTGCTATATCATGGAAAAGTAAGAAACAAACCTGCACAGCCCTTTCAACAATGGAAGCTGAGTTCGTGGCTTGTGCATCTGCAGTACAAGAAGCTGTTTGGTTGAAGAGATTCTTTGAGCATTTGGATATTACAAAGAACTCTCAGGGTCCCATGACTATATTGTGATAGTCAAGCGGCTATTGCATATACAAAAGATCCTAAGTATCACAGCAAGACCAAACACATTGACATCAAGTATAACTTTGTAAGAGACATGGTAGCAAGTGGAGAGATAAATTTACAGTACATTCCTACGCAAAGCATGATAGCTGATCCTTTTACAAAGGCGATATCTAGAGACCTGTTTGAGAAACATGTTATGGCTCTAGGTTTGCGAAGGATATGAACATATTTATGTATTGTAATATGACTTTAGTATTATATTATGCTCATCAATATTTGACTCTTGAATTTTGCTATATCTCGTATGCATGTGATGAATGTTTTGTTGATAAAGTGTGTCGAACAAGTCGCGAGATTGGCTCTCTCACACGAGCAATTGCCTCTTACGTTAAGAATCGTGAAGAGATGAGACCTAATATAACCTTGGATAATGTGAGGTTATATTTACTTGTAGAGGTCGTTCTTGATAGCTTACGAATTTCACTATTCGATTATGACTTGTTTTGTAAGCCAGATACGAGTTTCTCTAAGAAGATGGTTTGAGGATTATTGAAGTGAGAAACTCGGGTTAGACACTTGAAGGTGTCTAGACCAAGATCTGTACGGTGTTGGATGATTAAAATAATAAGACACACGCGCCAATATAAGGTGAGAACACCGTAACATGTGTTTCATACCACGTGTGCTATCGACCAATGGGATAATGAAAGAATGAATCCCTGCTTCTTCATTGTGTGAGATCCCAAAGAAGTTATATTAACTTTTATTGGAATACCCTTTGACCTTTTACTGTCTCTTGAAGTGCCAATCAATGTTGCTACTTTAGCATGTTACTAATAGCCATGAGTGATTCGGCAATGCAGTGCATGTCTAGGAAAGCAGTTGATTTGGAATGGAAAGATTCGAGTAGAAAGGGAAGACGACTAAAAATTAGTAATTTAACTTGTATTCATAGGTCGACCATAACACTTACCATGAGGGTATTGGGTGTAATTGTGGATATAATGTTATATGAGAACTCAAGTTTGCCTCTTTCGAGGATGAGGGATCGAATAAGTAGCTACTACAATAGCGAATGATGTCTAGGGTATTGCGAGTAATAATATCCTCATGCTAGTAGTGAATCCTTTCCATATGTGATTGGATTTCTACATAGAGCTTTAGTACAACCTTTAATTGGTTTTGGAATTTTAAAGCTCTTTGTGCTCGCAGGTCGCACCAACTATTTGCCAGTATGAAAAGTGTGTCAAAGACATCGGTCTAGCCCACTATGAGCGAAGTCGGAGATGTTGGATTATGGGTCATGGGTCGCTCCATGTGGGTTGACCCGACCCGGTTAGGAGAGATAAGGAAGAGAGGTTAAGGAAAGTTACCACTAGACCACAACCTCTCCACTAAACTGAACGTGGGTGAGTGGTGGGTTTCTTCCTCAACCGCTATTTTCTCTGCCTATTTATATGAAGGAGATAACATAGAACAAGTATGCGTAAGTTTTTTCTCTAACGTAAGAATTTTCTCTGAATCTCTTCTTCTCCCAACGAAAAGCACACACAAGCAAGGGCATCTAATTGGTGGAAGATTAACTTTGTTTCCTAGTGATTCAAAGTTCGGTTTGGGGCAATTGTTTCGGTGGTGAGTTCAACAATTCTTCCGCTGCGTTGACAGGTACGCTAATGTTGTTCTCGCCCCGCGATTATTAGACTAACAATAAGTAAATAGGTTCCTTCTTTTTTCCCCGTAAATTATCAATCATGGGTTGAAGACTTGTGAAGTGCATTGTTCTTTAGTATACAATGGGGTAGAAAAAATGAATTTACTTTAGTAAGAAAAGCCAACATGAGGTTGCTTTTATGTATAAAATTCGGTATAATGTGTGAATAGAAATAGTTGGAGTTTCGTAGATATATACTTTTCTCTACAGTTTCTATCCTCCTCCAACTTTTTTTTACCTCCCAAAAAATAGAAAATAAATCAGTTGGAGGAGGAGAGAGCGCAAGGAAAAAGTACTACTATACTTGAATTTCAGTTTAAATTTTCTACGAGCTCAGCCTATGATATGAGGTATGGTTGTATGAGTGCCAACATTCACAAAAACTCAGAGAAGTCAACCTGTAAATATCTTTGCTAATTGGACTAGGCTTTTAGTTTGTATTAATGTAATATCGATCAATGTAGAATGTATGGTATAGAAAAGCAAGTTTACATCTTTGAAAAATGGAATAATTTCGATAACATGCATTAAATAGAGTATTAGGTAATTGGGGTTTTGGACATATGCATAACTTTATTATTCCATGTAAATATATGCTTTGAAAATTAAAATGCAAGAATATAATTTGAAGAAATAAGATTTACGAAGAAACAATATATCATTCTTGGGAGATCGAAGAGGTCTTCCCATGTTTGAGCTTATGTTTTTTTTCCACAAAATCTATTTTATAAAATATATACATATTTTAACTTTTATCGTGTTTGTATTGAACGATATGAATACACGTGGATGCACGTGTCCAGAAACTAGTTTACTCAATAATAGTAAACTCGTTGAAAAAATTGAACATCAATATTTGCCTTATGGAATATATTAACTAAATCTATCATTTAAACAAAATTTAGCTGTGATTTGCAATTGATATTATTATTTTTTGATTAATTTATATTTAGTGTTACTGTTATTTTAAAATTATGAATTTTTAATTTGATTTACTTTTATTAGCAAAAGATATAGAGTTTTAAAGGTGAAAACAATTGAAGAAAAAAGGCGAAAGGAAAAAATTAAAAATTTATGTATTAACCCTTTAATATAACAGACGAATTGAACAGCAGCCACCTCATACATCCTCTACATTTGGCCCTCTCAAATTCGCTATACATTCTTCATCGCTCAGTCCCCCAATCGAAGGCTTTCTTTGTTCGTTGTCTGATCTTACTGTGTTCAGGTTAGTATTATCTCTCCGCTCTGTTTACTTTTTTTGTTCTTCTTTCTGTTGTTTGGACTTAGGGTTATAAATTGGTTTTTTTCTCCCAAATTTGTGGTTATGGTAATCGAACCTAATTTCCTATATATAGCTTCTTTTACTCATATGATCAATCAAAAGTAGTAGAGCTTCTATTTAGTTTTGCTATATCTTTCTATATGCATTCAATAACTCCACATCTACTGTATTGAGCCACATTTTTCTTTTAAGTTTCGTTAAACAAAGGTCCAGAGAGTTGAAATATTGATGATTTCTCATGTGGAATTTAATCAAACCTAAGGTCCAGTTCTTCTTAGCAACCCGTAAGATATTGATTGGTCTGAATCGAAAAGGTAACTACAATGTTGAATCAAGAGACATCTTACTTTAGTGTATTTGCATAAACCTTATAGTTATTCTTATCCAACACTCTATCAAAAGATATTATTAGGATATAAAAGACAAGCCCTTCACACTTTTTTCTGCAATGTTGTAGAGTTGCGAATGGTATATATGTTGATGTGATAATTTAGGATATTTATTTTGGGATCCAATCAGACCCCACTTTGTGGGATTTTAGTGGGTCGTTGTTGTTGTTGTTGTTGTATTTTGGGATCCAAAGTAAGCAATAATATTCGGAGATCCTCCTTAATTAGGAATTGGAAAACAGTTTGAGTCCGTGCTGCCTTGGTACACACTAGGCGCTTCTTTTGTTAATTGTTTCTTTTTTTTGCTTAAGAGATATGTGACATAATAAAAAAGATAATATAGGAACTCTATTTTGAAGAGGAGCCTTCTGTGAACACTAGGAAGCTTGGTAAACTAAAGAATTGCTAACATGTTTGTCATATTGCGTACCTTAGCCGGTGGAAATGCAAAATATGCCTTACTGGTTCATTGCTTCCGGCATAATTGCAGGGAAGCAGATGAGCATTTGCTTTTTTGTACTTGAACTTCTAAAACTAATTAAATTTAGAAAACTATGATTAACTAGCATTTCATCTACATGTTTAATCTGTGTTAATATATACGAATTTTGCATTAATGAAGTCAGTCAGAATTTTTCAAGCATAACCTCAACTGGTAAGACTGCTTAGTTATTGGTGATTGCTGGCTACTTTGGTACTTCTATGTCTTTCTATCCCTTGTAATGCACTTGGCTGATAGATCTTTTAATTCTTTTTGTTAGTTAGCTTTCTGATTGGATTTACTTTTGCAGGAGATTGTTGGATACCATCTGATTGGATTTACTTTTGCAGGAGATTGTTGGATACCTTACCATACTACAAAATTGTTGATATCCTAAGGTTACTCATAGAACTCAACCAACTCAAGATATCAAGAAACTTAAAAAGCAACGCGACAAAGAAAAACTTCGGTTTACGGTCCTGAACGTGAATTAAACCTTAAACCTTTGTCGTTTTTTATGATATAAACAGGAGATTTTGCATCTAGTTCAGAAAATAATGACTTCGTTTGGGTCGCTTAAGCAGGCTATCTTTGACAGACAAGCAAGAAAACAGCAATACCAAGATCACATACTGGGCCTGAATGCTTATGATCGCCACAAGAAATTCCTCAATGATTATGTTGGATATTATGGAAGAGAGAGATTCACACAAAAAAAGTTGCCTGTTAAAACAGATCAGGATACGCTCAAAGAAGGATACCGGTTCATACGAACTGAGGAAGACGATATGAATCCATCTTGGGAGCAAAGGTTGGTGAAGCGCTACTATGACAAGCTTTTTAAAGAATATTGCTTAGCCGATATGACACACTATAAGAGTGGCAAGATTGGTCTGAGATGGAGGACCGAAAAGGAAGTGATATCTGGTAAAGGGCAATTTGTTTGTGGTAACAAACACTGCGATGAGAGAGATGGTCTAGCTAGCTACGAGGTGAATTTTTCATATGTTGAAGCAGGAGAAAACAAACAGGCCCTAGTGAAATTGGTAACCTGTGAAAGATGTGCAGAAAAGCTTCATTATAAAAAGAGGAAGGAGAAGGAGAAGGAGAAGGAGAAGGAGCAATCTAGAGAAAACCTGAAAGATAAGCATCGTAGGAAAAGGGAAAGAACTGTAAGTGATGATGACAATAAGGATGATAAATATGAACGAAGGAAAGGCAAGAGTAGAGGGTCCAGGTCTTCAACTTCATCTGATAATCCGGGTAATGAAGATAATGAAAATATTGATGAGTATCTGGAGGGAATGTTTCCTTGACAGGAGGATATTGATATCATTGTAAAGATTTCAAGTTCCATAAAAAAATTTTGGACTGCAGCTAGATATTTTTGTTGGGGCAACAGATTGGAACTTTGGTAGGAAAAGCGGAAGTAAATTCGTAGAGTTTGGTTGTCTTATCCATGATCGGTCAGTCCTGATTCTACGTCGGGTATTATTCACATGTAGCAAGTGATAGTTTTGCTTAGTTATCTACAGTTTTTGTTAATCAGTAGCTACTCTGAATGTAAATACAAAATCTTGCACACCTATGGTCGTTGTGAAGTTTCTTGAAGTTTATTCCTTTGACCTGACGAATGTCTCATCCTTCAATTGTTGTAGATCGATTTAGAGATGTATCGCTCCTCTTAAAAGAAGGCAGTGAAGTTCATGACTTTCTATAGCTTTCTATCTTTGTTTGCTGTTTATCAAGTATGGAACTGGGCTTCACTATCGTGTTTGTGAAAATACTTGTTCCATTAAATATTTGCTGCTAATTAACCATTTCAATCATATATCTAAAGTAATTGTATTTAAACTTTATTAGAATTAGGCCTGTTTCTGAAATTAAAATTATTATAGTACCAAATTTATCGGTAAATATAGGATAAAGTTAATTGGATGCGTGTGTGTTTTTTTCCAGATAAAATCAAAATCATGATATTTACGCATATTAGAGGTAAGATAAGGTGCACAAAAACTTTCTTAGTAAAATATATTTCGTGTCTCCCCTTTCTCGTACGTTGGTAAAATTGGTTGAATAAGAAGTGAGAAAAAGAGGATAGCACCATTCGAATTCGAAAGGTATAGACTTTATTAGTAATTCGAAAGGTACATATGGACTTTATTAGTAAAAAAAATAATTGAAATACCATTTTCTTTTTAAGACAACTGAAAACAAAAACAAAAAGAGAGATAGTGCATGAGATTCCGTTATTCTCGTTGAAATATCAGAAAAATAGTAAAACTAAAACAACATTGCGTTTAACACTTTCTAGCAAGAAAAGAAAATCTCATTTTGTGTCATTTCTTGAATATCAAGGTGACCAAAGGTCTCTTTGTTTTAGTAAATTTCACAAACCTTCAAATTTCATATTCTAATATTTCTCCCTTCAGCAAGCTTCCATTTTCATTTCATGGCAATTCTTGATCTCAATATGTGCTGAAACTCGGAAATTTTGAGTTGGAATTTATTATACAGAGTCAGAAATATCAAAATTCTCATTTTCCTTGGAATTTTTTTATAAAGGTACGTTTGTTTGAAATATTTGATGATCTAGAACAATAAAATTGGAATTTTTCATTTTTATTGTGATTATTGATCTGGGTATGTGCTGAAATGTTATGTTTCAAAGCCCCCCTTTTACTCCACTGTGAGAAAGATTGAAAATTTCTGATTGAATTTCTGATATCTTTAATCTTGTACACAATTTCATTTTCAAGATCAATATTTATTTGGGTATCTGGTGAAAGATAGATAATGCTCTTTTGAATTTATGATTATCTTGAATTAAAATTTCTAATGCAGAACTGAGATATTTTCATTTTCATATCTTGATCTGCTTATTTTTTGATTTGCAGTTTCTAAAGGCCCACTTTGGCTGAAGTCTTGGGAAGATGAGGAGATGTCTGAATTTTGATGATATTGAGTTGGAAACTCATATTCAGATATAGAAATTTGCTTTTAGGTAGAGAAAAATGGGGGTGGATTATTACAACGTGTTGAACGTAGGGAAGACAGCGACGGATGATGATCTGAAGAAAGCTTACAGGAAATTAGCAATGAAATGGCATCCTGATAAGAACCCCAACAACAAGAAGGAAGCTGAGGCTCAGTTCAAGCAAATATCTGAGGCCTATGAAGTTTGTCACACTTAACCCTTTCTTTATTTTACTGTAGTAATTATACAGAAAAAATCGAATGATTCTTGTGTATTCTGTTGTTGCTTAGGTATAATGTGTAATGGAGTTTCTTTCTTACACCTTTGTGAAGTTTGAAGGATCTATCTACGGCGAAACTTTGTGTTAATTTTGTGAAAATGACAGTGTAACTTCAAGGAAAATCTTTGGAAGTCCCACTTTATGAAAGCTTTGATACTAAAGATGCTACAAGGAACAAAATATTATTTCCTTTCACTATCCTTCAAATTCTGTGTAATTGAAAGCTCTTTGTTTGGTAGCAGTTGGTTTGGCCTAGTCGACTCTGGGGCTTCTGTTTCTGCTGTCAACCGAGGTTCAAATCTTGTAGCGATGGCTATAATGATTTTGTCATAACTCTAGTGGTTGTTGAATTGATTGCTCCTTACCCCTTGCTAAGCAAAAAAGAACAGATTTTGTTTTGTTTTGTATTTTTTTATGTTTTAATGTATTGTCTCTGACTTTTCTTTAGGACAGATGTTATTGAGCCTCCGCCTATTATAATTGAGTCATTTAACCAATTGTGAATCTTGAAAGAATCAAAGATATGATATATGCAGTAATTCTAATGATCATAAGATCTTGGTATCATGCATTCTTACTATCAAGTTTTACTCCTTTTGTTCAGATTTTAAGTGATCCTCAAAAAAGACAAGTCTATGATCAGTATGGTGAAGAAGGTCTAAAAGACATGCCGTCACCTGGATCTAGCGGTAATCCTCGTAATGCTGAGGATATTTTTGCTGAATTTTTCGGGAGCAGCCCATTCGGGTTTGGTTCAGCTGGAGTAAAGTCCACGAGATTCTCATCAGAAGGAAGCGGTTTGTTTGGGGGATTTGGTGGGGGTGAGAATATTTTTAGAACAGCGAGTGATGGAACGGGTGCTACTATGCCCAAAAAACCACCACCAGTGGAGAGTAAATTGCCTTGCAGCCTTGAGGAGCTTTACTCTGGATCTACAAGGAAAATGAAGATCTCTAGAACTGTGGTTGATGCGAACGGGTAATCACATTCCTTTTGTTCTCCCCCTCTCTTTCAATTGTTTTAAAATGTTCTTCTACCAAGTATTAAGTATTATAAATGACGAATACTTATGAGGTATTTCCAGTATCATCTATGAATGAACAATTACAAGGAGCTAGTAATGTTAAGTTGCTTAGCATTTATACTGATATAAGTACAGATTTTGGTTCTTGGCATATAGTTGCATTTGTTGTATAAAGAAAATCATCTCTATGAATAAAACCTTATCTCATGTGACCACCAAAGGATATGGGACTGCTCTTCCCTTAACCAGATGTCTCGGGTTCGAGTCCTGGGTATGGAAAAATCCTTGGTAGGGAGCATTCCCCGCGGCGTGAATCCCGATATAGTCAAGCTCCAAATGCGCGTACTGGACCCCGGGTGGAAACCAAAAAAAAAAAAAATATCTCACGTGTTACCTGCTGTGCTTGGATGCAACTGACATGCATTTTGCTAAGAATTCCGTAAAATATACAAACAAATGTTTCTCCTATTCTACCATATAGTAATATATTTGATGTGATTTATTTGCTGGAAAATTAATATGAGAGTTATTGCAGGCGGTTAGTGACAGAAACGGAGATTTTAACGATTGATGTAAAACCTGGCTGGAAGAAAGGGACAAAGATAACATTCCCAGACAAAGGAAATGAGCAGTTGAACCAGCTTCCAGCAGACCTGGTGTTTGTAATCGACGAGAAGCCCCACGATGTTTACAAGAGAGACGGGAATGACCTTATTAGGAACTACAAAGTAACTTTAGCAGAGGCATTGGGAGGAACTACTGTCAACCTCACAACGTTAGATGGTCGCGAGTTGACAATTCCAGTGAATGAAATTGTGAAACCTGGTTATGAGCTTGTGGTTGAAAAAGAAGGCATGCCAATCACAAAGGAACCTGGCAATAGGGGTGATTTAAAGATCAAGTTTGAAGTTAAATTTCCTACAAGATTGACGACTGAGCAACGAGCTGCCCTTAAGCGCGCTTTGGGAGGTTGAAGCTGCTAAATCCAAGATTCCAAGTAAATTCAGAATCACATTAGGAATATAGGATGTTATTTTTGATGCATTCATTGTAACCAAAAAGAAAAAGTTCTTCTTTACACATGTTTGGGACTCGTCAAAGATAAGATGCCCAACTTAGTCTCTCCTCATTTTCAATACTTTTTTTTTTTCATTTGAACAAGGTATAGCACTTTCTTTTTCAGATTTTCTTTTAATTAGTTCGAGGCGGAAGTAAAGGGTATTGTGTCCTTATTGCTGACTGACAGAGGCGGATCAAAGATTTAATTTCTATAGGTTCAAGATTTAAGGGTTTCGTTGAACTCATTATATTTTTAAAGTTATGAGTTCATATCTACTATTTTTTATAAATTTACACTGCGTATCGAAAGTTATGGGTTCAGAACTCGTCACTTTAATACTACATCTGCCCCTGGCCCTGCTGACTGAGGGTTAATATTGACACTTGTGTTGTTAACTAACATTTTCAATTGCGAAACGTTATAGCATGTACTTGAAAGTTGGCAACTTATTTACCTAATTGTTGTTCTTTTCTAGTTTCTCTTGCCCATTTGCTTCCCTCACAACCACCACCCCAACAACCCCAAAAAAACGAAAAGAAAAGAATGACCTGTTCCTAAGATTGATAGTATCAAATGAATATTGCAATTACAAGGTTATTCACACTAGAGTATGACGTAAAAAAGAAAGAAAAAAAGGGATAAATGAACTTTTAATGTTGTTAACCACCATTACAAGTTTGTTAATGCGTTGGGCAAGGAGGGCGCCAGAAGAGTTGCCAATTAATATATAATAAACCATATCCAGCCATGGACAGGAATTATGCTTAAAAGACGAAAATTGTTGTGTTTCTCTTTTCCTGAAACACAAAAACAGTGAAAATGAACCATATCTCCTGCTTTTATGCTAAAGGTACATAATTGTTCTAAAACAACTAGAAAGCTACATGCCTAATCTAAGGTCTAAAAGCCAAACACAAAAAAGAAAAAACATATCCAGAATTTACATCATCATCAACTAACAAAAAGAAAAGACTTCAGAATCCCCTATTCCTCGCATCCCTTCTCCAATCAGCTTGATACTGTCCCCTCGGTGACAATATTTGTGGCCTGTTTGGAACGTTTATTGGTGACTGCAAAGGCATAGCCATAGGTGTTGCCAATGGTCTATGATGAGCCAAGAGCGGCCGCTGAAAATTATGGCCTAAAGGGTAAGGAGGACGCTGCTGCTGCTGATGGAGTGGGGCTTGTGGCCGCCACTCCGGAATGTCATCGTCATCATTCCACGGTTCAATTTCAATACCAACATTTGTAACTCTATCATCACTACTAGCTGTACCAGTTTTCCCATACTTAAGTACAAGTTCTCTCATCTGGTCTACAGGGCGAGAGGGTACTTGTTGGTTATACGAGGCGATTCTTGACCCATGAGACAAGTTTTGAGACGGATGCCTAGGCCTAGAAGCATTTATATTACCACAAAAATTAAACTCAGGCAAATCATCATCATCACGAACTGCTTTGGGACCAAACCCAGGTGGAATATCATCATCATCGTCCGGGGTAGGATCTTGTTTCGAAGATACAGGTCCTTTAGGCATCAAATTTACATTAACGTTTCCATCTTTTTCATGCTGTCCTCTAGAAAACATCTGTTGTTTTTTCAAGCTGTGTTTATTGTGCGAAGAAGAGTTAGGTGATATCGTTGAACTTATATGAAGTTTTCTCCATACAACTACACCAATTAGACCATTTTCTGTAGAATCATATAGCTCTCTAGGGTCTTTGGTAAAGTGTTTGCTTATCATATCAAGTAAGCGCGGTGGACACAAATATACTTCGACTCCTGGAGCTGGCTCGGCAAACCCCGGCCTCTCATCTGAAACGTATGAATCCACTGCCTAAAAAGATTATCAAAGACCAGATAAGCAAACGTGAACCAATTAATAATTACTGCAGTAGAGCTGCTAGAAAATATAGTACCCAAAGTCTGTACCTCAGAAATGTTTGCTCGTTCAATCTCAGATGAGTTGTCCCTCAGAACAAATTGAACAACCTGCATTATGCAATATGATAAGCACAAGTTTGAAGAATTTTAATATCGCAACTTATGTAAAAGCACTATTTTTTTTTTCTATGAACAACTTACGTAAAAGCACTAGTTTCAAGACGTAATCTTGACCATTCAAAATTAGGATCCATCAGTTTACTGGTACATCAGAAGTTTTTTTTTTTTTTTTTGATAAGATAAACTGGTACATCAGAAGTTATTCATCCACTTTTGGTTTAAAACTATGGTTGAGCCAAACAAGTTGAAAATTTGTATTTATCGCAGACTAAACACTTGATTTCACTAAAAGCTAAACATTGTGGGAAGTTGAGTGCAGCATTTAATTTATCTTTCTAAAATCTTGGAGCTTTTGATACGTCTGACATTGAAAAACCCTAATTAGAGAACGTTAAATGAACTTAGTTGAGCCTTCTGGAAAGGATGATTATTCAACTCAAGTCATTCCAACCACGGCATAAAAAAAAAAAAAAGCAAACCATCCAGTACATAATAAAAAGCTGGAAAGGCGGAAAGGACCAATGCTTTGAAACCAACTGATTGAAATGGCGGTATTTTGGAATGTACATTCTTAGTAGACAACAATGGAAGTCGTCAAAAAATAAGGAAAACCTACACACTGTCTGCAATAAGCTGCAACCTGAAGTATGAAATAAAAGACTAGCTACAATAAAGGAAAGAAAATCATAAGATACCATGACTGCACGACTCCGTGACATAGGAAGCTCTTGAAGAAATTTCTCGAATGCATCAAGTCGAACTCTACCCTTGATCTCAAGAGAACTTGGCCACTCATTAGTTGGTGTCTTTTCACCACTGAAACAGAAGATAACAAAGAAGAAATGCCACTCTCTTGTTAGCACCACAGATAATGTTTTAATCAACACGTGCATTTTGAATGTTCTAGAGGGAGTTAAAAACAGAGAACAATGAAGGATATTTACTCGGAGACTGGATAATAGAGAACCCACTCGAGATCTAATGCAAAGTACTAGAAAAAGGTAAAGGAAAACTAATCCAAAGCAAGCAAAGCCAAATGATGCAACATGCATTTAAATTGGTGTCAGTCTATTCGTCTGCAGAGAGAATTTTCAAGACAAATAAAATTATCAAGGGGGACGGAAAAAATAGCATGGCGCTAAAAAGAAAGAGATAACCAGCAGAGACTCAACTGGGATAACAGTGGGATAAAACATGTACTACAAGAGAATGACATCAATAGATAGTAATTGCTCTACACATGAAAGCTCTTTTAAAAAATATTCATACCTTCTAAACAAACCAAAGACTGTCACCAAGGATGAAATAGTAAGCTGGAGTGCCCCCTCCCAGATACTTGAAACTACAGAACCGCTACCACGAGGTCCTGCCATCTTGATAGGGCTCTCAGCAGATTTTACAAGCGCATTCCCAGTAGTAGTTACCTTTTTAACAACAGAGCCCCCAGTAGATACCAGGGACTCCTTCGGTTCGGCGTGATTCTTGACCCCTTTATCTGCAGAAGCAACAGCAGGATCTTTAGAGGCTACACCAGAACCCACAACTTTGTTAGGGTCGTCAGAGCTTTCTTTGTCCGGAGGAGGTGTGGAATTACTGTTTTCGGCTGGTAGGTTCTCAAAAGGAGGTTCAGAATTGAGTGATTCCATGAATTCGTCTAAGGAAACAATAGGAGGAAGAAATTCTGCATCCTTGAATTCTTCTACAACCATTCCCTGCATCAAATCAGCCCCATCGGCTGGAATTACCAAGCTATCAGACACATCTTGCTTTTCTGGCCTATTCTGTTGGCTGGTAACATTTTCTTTACTTCCAATCTCATCCGTACCAGAAGGGCTAGAATCTTTTCCCCTCTCTATCTTCGGGATAAACTGCGACACATTTGAACTTGCAGATATCTCAGCTGCAATGTTATTATCGTCCCGTTCAAAATCCACCTGATATTCACCCTTATGAGTTTTCTTAACCAGGCGTCTCATGTCAACTTCACTATCAGGCAAAACTACCATTTGAGCAAGTTCCTCGGCTTTTGCCACCCGCCACTGAGATAACTCCTTTGAAGCAAGTTCTTCAGCAGTCATTGAACATAACTTCTCCGGGGATATCTCACTGGACATCACTCTCTCTCGCAATTCAGGATTACTGCGATCTTTTAGGTTGAAGAGAAGAGACCTGCCCTTCTCTTTATATTTTTTGTTCACGCCTCCAAATAATTTAAAAAGTTCCGCCTCAATTTTTAAAGCTATATCTTGTGGAGATGATTTTGCATGCTCGCCTTCATCTCCAACCACACCCTCATCAAACAAATTGGCTTTTTCAGCATCCTGGAGGAAGTCGGCTTCTCTTAACTGCATATCTAGATCCATCGCCCAAGTGAGACCATTCCCTTGCAGAAGTTCATCTTTGACAAAAAAGTTTTCGCTGAACGGAACATCATCCACATGCAATTCAAGCTCATCAGAGCCAGGTATAGAGTTTCTCATGCTCACGTCATCTTGAAGCCCATGAGATGAACTCTGACTGTCATTGGTTTTATCAACAGAGAAAGCGCCAGCTGAAGGAAGTACATCACTGGAGTTTTGATGGACATGATCATGTGAGACAGACGTTTGAGGTAGACCTTCACTGGCAGTTGTTGGAGCTACATTCACCTGCGAAGGCTGAGAACCAACTGCTTCATTTGGATCCTTGGCAGCATTTACAACAGCATCTGGATTCTGACATGCCATAGCCAGAGCTGAAGCAAGAGATTCTCTCATTTTGGACCTCACAGCATCAGAGGACTCGGATCGAGCCTTGGAGGTTGGCTCAGCTTGAATTGTTCGTCCTTTTGGAGTCTGCGACCGCTGGGAGGCAGTTTTATTGGTTATGGATTCATTTCGTACCATTTTCTTGCTTGACGCGGGAAGACTTTGTGAACCTCCGGAAGTTGACTTTGACTGTTGCTGTCCAGATTTCTTGATAGCAGAAGATTGCTGCGCAAAACTAGGAGATGCCGATAAAGAAGCTCCCGGTGCAGTGCGCTTATTTGGCATTGATGGCGTCTGAGGTGAAGAACCATGTACTGATGGTTCCATCTCAGCCTTCCGTTTGGCGAGTAACGAAGATTTCTGTGCACCTGGACTATTTGGCACATATCTATTATCTGCTCCCATCTGCTGATGTGACAACATGAACTGCTGCGGATTCATTTTGGGTCCCATCTGTCCCAATTGATCCACAGAAACCGATGTATCAAATCTGTTGGCCATAGGCTCATTTGCCCAAACAAACTGATGTGATGCAGAATTATTTGGCATGTGTCCGACAATCCTCGTTTGCATATGTGCTATGGTAGAGTCAGGATTACCAGAAACATGGTCCATCTGAACCAGCTGCCCATCAGGTGGTCCTGAGAACTGCTGAGAAACAAGATCACTGGACATGACAGATAAACAGAAGAGCGCATACAACGTCAAAATTATAGACAGAGTGCCCCTGCACTTTAGAGCAAAGACGCTATGTTATTTACACCAACATCTTCCTCCAGACCTGACTTATTCGTTGCACAAGAGGATCCCTGCACTCAGAAAACAGCAAGCAAAATAATAAATCCCTGTGGAAATTGGAACAGGAAAGCAACCGCCACTTATCAAAACCAAGAAAAAAGATTTTTTTTAACAGACAAGCCCCATCAAAGCAGAATATAGGATGTAATTAACATCTTCAGCAAGGCAAGGGTTAACAAACCAATCAGCACAGTTTCAAATAAGAAAAACCACTACAGGACAAATTTACATAGCTTTGAAACATGCCACACTAGCCCTTGGAATTCGTCGGTCATAAAAAGAACTCTAAAAGACAAAGCAAGCTTTCAAAAAAGCATACACACTAGTAGCATAATTATGCTTTCTCTTGAAAGAAGAAAAAAGTTTCACGCCGGATGAAAAAACAAAGTTAATATTAAATTCCACCATGGCAAACACATTCAGCCCCAGAAACAAAAACCTTACCTACCCAACCCATAATTCCACACAAGATCTCTTATCAAAACCCTAGTTTCTAATCTTCCAACGGTATCCAAAATCCCTTAATTACCAATTCACAAACGCGGATAATTAAGTAGTTTCACCTCGATTCAAATTTACATAAAGATACATCACATGGGTCAGATAAATCAGTAAGAACAGGAAGCTATTTACCTATATGAGCAGAACTAGAACGAATTTGATAAAAAGAGCTGCCGAATTAGTGAAAATTCAATTTTTCCAAAAGAAAATATATATATATTTTCAACAAAGACAAAATAAATCAGCTTCATCTGTCAAATTATACTTTAAAGATAGAACTTTCACAATAAAAGCTCACGTGGACCTATACCATATGAGAAAATGAAGATTTCGAATACATAAACCCTAAATTCAAATCCATAAAGGGCATTGAAAAATCATAATTTCAACAAACAAACAAAAATACAAATTCAGAACATGGGAACGTACCTAAAATCAGCAAGTTATTCAACAAGCTGAGCTGCACATATATTATTTTATGGAGAGAAAAAGAAGAGAAATTAAGAGCTGAGCTGAGCTTGAGGCTAAAGCTTTATCGAAGAAGCCCTAGAAAGATCCAAATATAAATCCACAAGTGTGGATGTGGCGAAGCCGATTCACTAGCGGGCTTTCTGTTTCTGACACGTTGCTGTTGACCTACTATGGGCCTATTATTTGTTTTGGGCTTTGGCCCTAAAACTTTCTACTGACCTTTTCTCAAACTGATTTTTACGCAAATAGCATGTGGATTCATTATTTATTTTCCTAGCATATATACATAAATTATACTAATTAATTTTATATAAATTATTTTCTAGATTTTTAATTTAAGGGGCTGGGTGGATGATTTTTAGGTTAATTCTTCTTTCTCAAAATTCACTATAAGATATAAGATTACACCAAATAAATGATCTTACATGTGTTATTTAAGTTTAAGGTATTTAAATTTTGGCTTACGAGTGCAAAATTAATATATAAAAGACTAAAATTTTCTCTTGTCAAAGATAATATAATATATTATCAATCCTACGAGGATCAGTTGATCACTATATAAGGAAACGATAATTTGCGAAAAGATGATTTTAAAAGTTAATAATGACAAATAAAAAATAAACTTCATGAAAATATATGAGCCGACTCAAGAATTCGTTTATGAAATACCTAGCAATTTCTATTTCTTTACCAACCTTCGTTAAATTATGAACATTTCTTGCAAATATCCATATGATCCTTTCTAATAATAATTCTCACTTTGTTATATAATTTATAGAAATAATTAGATGTATAAAACTATAAATATGTGAACGCAGTGTTCAATGATTCTATATAAATAAAAAGGAGTTTTTTCATATATATATATATACAAAAATTTAAACTTATTTATCAGTTTTAGCTAGGTTTTCCTATTTACTAGAAAATAAATAATTTTTTTATTAAATATATAATATATAATATATATCCAACTTAAATATAATTTTTCGTTTTATGAAATTCGGTCAAAAGCTACAATTTATATATTGTTATAAATAGTATTTTATTTATGGTGAATGTCTATCTTTTAGCGATATTTTAGAGTTTATTACTTTGTGGCTAAGTCACTTTCCCCCTATAAATAGAGGAATTCTATTCCATTGTAATTCATCCCAAATCAATAAGAATTTTCTCTTTTCTCTGCAATCTTTTATTGTTATTTCACGTTATAAGCACGAGACTTTGCCGTATCAAGAAGCTCTTTGAGAAGACTTAGCAAATATGGATATCTCTAGAAAATTTGGATCAAATTTCAATTGTAAAAATATATTTTTAGTTGATTCAGCTACGATAAATACAATTTTCAAAGAGAAGAAATATTTCTCTCATTTAAGCATGTGTAAGGCAGATGCTACTACAATTTCTGGTAGTAATATTTAAATTGAAGGCTTTGGAAGAGCTACTACAACTCTGCCTAGGGGAACAATACTTATCATAGATAATATAATGTTCTTCTCCAAGCCCGGAAGGAACTTCTTGAGTTTTAATGATATCCGCCGAAACGGATATCATATTGAGACAGTAGATGAGAATAATCTTGAATATCTCATCGTTACCAAGAATGTCTCTGGCCAGAAAAAGAGCTATTGAGAAGTTTTCGTCTTTGTCTTGTGGCCTGTATTAGACAAGAATTAGTGCAATTGAGGCACATTCTATCGTAAACCAAAAGGTTACTAATTCCAGTATTTTTGTACTTTGGCACGATCGATTGTGACATCCTGGATCAATTATGATGAGACGAATTATAGAAAACTCAAATGGGCATCCATTAAAGAATTTAAAGATTCTTTTAAATAATGATTTTCTTGCACTTCTTGTTATCAAGGTAAGTTATTATACCATCACCAACAAAGGTTGGAATTGAGTCCCCTGCGTTTTTGGAACGTATACAAGAGGATATTTGTAGACCTATTCAGTATTAACCCACCTAGTGGGTCGTTTAGATATTTTATGATCTTAATAGATGCATCTTCTAGATTGTCTCATGTGTGTCTATTGTCATCTCGCAACCTGGCGTTTCCAAAACTAATGGCACAAATAATTCGATTATGGACATAGTTCCTCAATAATTCAATTAAGTCTATTCAACTTGATAATGCTGCTAAGTTTTCATCCCAGGCATTTAATGATTATTGTTTATCAATTGGGATAAAAATGAAATATCATGTTGCTCATGTCCACACTCAAAATGGCCTTGCAGAGTATTTTATTAAACGTCTGCATTTGATAGCAAGACCATTACTAATGAAAATGAGGTTGTCCGCTTCTTTTTGGGGTCGTACCATTTTCTATGCAACAATGCTTGTTTGTCTCAGACCGACAATTTATCATAAATATTTCCCGTTGCATTAGTTTTGGATCATGAACCTAATATATCCTATTTAAGAATTTTTGGATGCACAATATACCTGTAGCACAGTCATATCGCACCAAGATGGATCCCCAAAGAAGGTTATGCATATATGTTGGGTTTGTATCACCCTCCATTATTCTCTACCTCAAAAAATTAACGGGAGATTTGTTCACTATACGATTTGCAGATTGTCGATTCGATGAGATATTTTCCCCAAAATTAGGGGGAGAAAATGGTGAGACCAAACGGTTAAATTTTGTGAAAAAATCTATCGTTGTCACATCTTGATCCACATGCCTCTATTTGTCGGGAAAAAAAAAGGTGCAAAAGATTATTCATTTGCAGAAGATAGCAAATCAGTCATATTATCACTTGAACGAAATTGTTGCACATTGATATCACAATTCTTTTGAAGATCAAGTGTGAAAAATAACTTTGATGAAATGTGCTTTGTCCTATCTCTTTTTATGAATCCTCCCTTCAATTGGGCTATGCATGCTGCGTTGTCTTCACATAAAATCGTGGGTATTTTGTCACACTTCAAATTAAAAATTTCTCAAATAAGATGTATAGACATCAACCACACACATTCTCGACTCGCTTCATTAATAGCAATTATCCCAGTATTATTAGCTGAAGTAGCCATGATTGATTGCTTAGTCAATCGCCAAGATATGTCAGTGCCTCCACATGTAAACACATAGCCTGTTTGAGATTGAGCCTTGTGTGGGTCAGATAAATACCCAGCATCGGCATAACCAACAAGATCGGACTGCACTTGTTGCCATAAAATAAACCCAATCATAATAAACTTGGAGTTTATTGATAATTACACACGTCATGGTATAAACCCGAAGTTTATTAATATTGATAATTTATCTAGTTGGCATAATTGGTTTAGCCATGTTAATTTAAGTATGATGTGTAAAAATAAAAGAGAATTCATACATGTAAATATTAGAGAACTAGAAAGTTATTTACGAATTATTTATATTATTTGTTCTCATTAATTAATAGACCAACTAAAATTGAGATTGAATCTCATGAATGCAATAAATATCAATGGTGAATATGAGCCTACTAACATGACATATATAACATATTAGATGCATCTATGAGATGGTTACATGTGCAATTATTATTAACCTGCAACCTGGTATTTGCGAGGCAACTTGCTCAATAATTTAATTTAGAGCATAATTTCCACATTTACTATTCAAAACAGTTCATCTTGATAAGTTAGTTTATATCACAGTTGGTTTAGTAAAATAATTTATTGAGTACCTCCACTTAATAGTGACACTATTACTTATGAGAACAAAGTTATCTATATCACTTTGATATACGTTATATACGAAAGTATATTATATTATTCCCTCACAAGTGGTTCAGGGTTAGGAATCAAAATTTCATCTTATTATTATGTGCGGTGTATATTTTGATTAATACCATAACATACAAAGTGGTTTGGGATAAGGAGCCAAATATTTCCATCTTATTATTATTGATATGCAATGTATATTTTGATTTACACCATAACACACAAAAAGTGGGGTTTCCAAAGTTGAGGAAGCAAGTTAGTTTTTCTAACATGAAGGGGAGACAAGATATACAATTGAGAAAAAATTACATGGAATGAGTTATCATTTGTACATCTAGATCCTCGAATAAGATAATATGAACTTGAAGTTCATAAACTGATAATTCATCTGGAATATATTGCAAAGCTTTCCAGACGCATTTGTTGACCCAAATAAAGCAACGTATATTCTCACTACAAATTCTCCTATTTGAATAAGTCCTAGAAGGACAAAGTCTATGGTACGCTTAAAGAATATAGAAAAATCAGTTTCAAATAAAATTCTTAATAAAGAAGATGATCAAATGATCAGAATAATCATAATAAGGAGGCAAGTGATTTAGAAGATCACATGACATAGCACTTCATAAAATCTCAGGAGAGGTTTAGGTGCCTAAAAATATGAATGAAGAGATCTCTATGTTATGTTTATGAAAAATAGGTTGGAACCGATATAAATGTTTGTCGATTATATCTATGATAACGCTAAATATTTATGAGGATCTTAAGTCTGGAGAAACAATTCAAGTATAATTGGTTGCATATGAAAGACACGTAGTTTTGGACCTACAGATCAAACATTTGAAAGTATAAAGTCAATGGTGTGTGCATTCACTTTTATCTATCTTATATGTCCAGACTGACATGAAAACTTAATATGGATCTAACGTCTATTTATATGGCTTATACGACTTAACTTATATGACAATCCCTGAAGGATTTAAATCGCTTATAGCATATATAATTCTTGGTCCTGGCGTACCACATCCTAAGTGCAATTTGTACACATATGTATCTTGCTATAACTATAAGTATGATAATGTGATAGGGAGAATTTTTACCTCTATGGAGATATTGAAAAGGTCATTCCACGACATTATATGAAGACATTACTTATTTATTGTAACGACCCGACCGGTCGTTTTTAGAATTCACGCCCCGATCCCCCATTAACTATTTCCCCTAAGTTCATTTCTGCTATTTTGGTTTGCCAGGACGTTCGGTGTTGAGTTTTGGAGAGTTCTGGGACACTTAGTCCCTAAATGAGAGCTTAAGAGTTAAAAAATGGTCCGTAATCAGAACAGTGTAAAGACGACCTCGGAA